TTACAAACGTTCGGGAAGCTGGTAGCTGAGATGAGTTTATCATAGAGAAGTCTAGATCCTTTACAGGGATTATTAATATCGTTCCAAGGGCATACAGTTTTAATGTGAAAAAAATCTATTTTAACGTTTTGCAGTCTTGTTCTCCATACCTTTGGGATGTTAAATAATAAACGATTGTAATCAAGTAAGGTACCCTTTATATTGATGATGTTTTTAGGTTTATGAATGGAATTAATCCGTTTTCATCACAGAGATCTTTTACATAAACTATACCTTTGTTAAACCAGTTTTTTTATAATAAAGTCTGAGTCACGAGAGTGTTGGTTTAACCACAGCGGTTGTATTAAAGTGTCGTTGATATCCTCAGTATTAACAGAATGGATCTTTACATATTAACTCCACGCCTTTAGAACATCATTCCTGAAGGGAGTTTAAATTTTCAAGTAAAACGGTATATTTGCACCGAAATTGAAAATATAGTCTAACCGAAAACCGGAGATGTCATATTGTTTCTGTTTAGTGATGTTTCTTTTTAGACATGAAATGTTTTTAATATCAATCATTCTTAGACCTCCATCTTCATATTTCCGCATAAGATTGATTCTTTTTTTTTGGTCCTTTTTGTCGTTCCATATAAACTTGAAAAAAGAGAGTGTTCAATTCTGCGATAAATTGGGTGGTGGGTTTGGAAGGGAGGTAAATATATGAACTATGGTTGATAAGGCCAACGTTTTAATTATGGTAATTTTGCCAATCAAAGTCAAATAACGTTTACGCCATTTTGAAAGAATTCTTTTGATGTTGTCTGGTCTTTTTCTAGTGTTGATGACCCACAGGTTTTGCAAAGAAGCGTTCAGTGTTATTCCCAATACGTCAAAGTTTCCTACATGTCAATCTAGATTAAGGTCAAGGGTTAGTTTTATCTTACTTCCAGCGAGTGATTCAAGCCATACTGCCTTAGTTTTTCAACGTTAATTTTCAGTCCAGACATTTCATAAAAGCTTGATAGAGTATCTATTGCTTCCTTACGAGAGGTGTCTGATCCATCTAAAAATAATCATCTGCATCATCCGTATCATCTGCATATTGACCTATAATGTATTCAATATCATTTAAGGTGACACCTTTTATTTCGACATTATTACGAATCATTATCCCTAGTATTTCTGCAACGAACAAAAACAAATACGGTGAAATTGGATCTCCTTGTCTGCAACCTCTTTCGTTTTGGAAGAAAGTAGATAAATGTCCATTTTGTACAATACAAGAAGTTGCGTTTGACATAAGAATACTAACCCATTTCTGTAATTTGTTCCCAAAGCCGAATTTATTCAGGACCATCATCATAAACTCTTTAGAAACCGTGTCAAATGCTTTTTCAAAATCAATCAGTATTAATAAGCTTTTTATTTAATCTCTTAGTTTCAAACATAATATCGTAGAGAAGTCTTATGTTATCTGATATGCATCGTCCTGGAATAAAACCCGTTTGATTTTCATTGATGAGTAGATATATAGTCTTCTTTAGCCTGTTTTTGATACAAGTGCTTACGATTTTGTATAGAACGTTTAAGAGAGAAATAGGTCGCCAGTTCTTAAGGAATCTGAGGAAGTCATAAGTTTGGCGATTTGGTTGAATAAATGTCATCGTCCCCAAAATGCGTGGATCAATGATCGCACTCACGAAATAAAGGAAGTTCAATATAGAACAAACGTTATGGATAACAACTTCTGTTTAATCATGAGTGCGACGTTTCGATACAGATTCTTGTACCGTTGTCAAGCAGGAACGGTACAAGAATCTGTATCGAAACGTCGCACTCATGAATAAAAAGAAGTTGTTATCCATAAAGATTGTTCTATATTGTACATCCCAACTTCCAAAAATGCCACTCAAAGAAGATAAAGGAAGTTGTTATCCATAAAGGAGGTCAATTTTGTTCTTCTCAACTTCTAACATGCAACTAAAAGAAGTTGCAGATGCGTTGTAAATACAGCCATGTATGACATGAAGAGGCTTTAACGCACAACGCTGAGTTGACACACCGATACGTTCATGTCAGCGTAATCTGCGTGTTATAACACACTACTTTACACGAAACTGAAAAACTGTTTCAAGATGCAGCAATGGCCAATACAAATGACTCTGCCATTGCTCATGGGTTTTGCAACATGTCGCCTTCCAGTTGGAACGTTCATTAACTTTTAGCAGTACATTTTGTTTCCATACTTACATACAGTTAATTCAGCCGGCTACATTCAAAACTCAATTTTTACATTTCTTCGTTGGAAAACGCCATCTTACTTACCACGAGTAGCAATCTTGAGTGGTTGAAGTACACAGTCATGACACAATTTCTACATTTGATCGTTGGAAACACCATCTTGCTTACCACGAGTACCAATCTTGAGTGGTTGAAGTACATAGTCATGACACAATTTCTACATTTGATCGTTGGAAAACACCTTGTTACTTACCACGAGTAGCAATCTTGAGTGGTTGAAGTACACAGTCATGGCAGTTCACCAGAGTAACAAAGGAGAGAAAGAATAGAAGTACCTGCATCCTGGGTGAGTGAAACTGACACATGAACTGATGTACCACAGATCAGCAGCAGCCTCATCAATCCGACAACATATGCGTGGGTTAATTGATCAACTGGGAGGCTTGTATTACGTGTATCTGTCAGTTTTTGGGTTTTACGCTGGTTTTAAGCATTAACCAATACCTGAACAGATACTCAACGTTAAAGATGTGTCATCGTTGCTGATGCTGAAGAAACATACTTATCATACAGATTGATCATATTATCTGATGTTAAGTGGAAAACGTCAAATTACGCTTATACATGTGAATGTTATACGGAAAATTTACTGTTTCCGAGCAAAATAACTTCGCTTATTAATTGAGGTGATATAATCATCCGTTAACACAAGTAATACTACCGGAGCGGTGGGGTAGCCTAGTGGTTAAAGCGACCTCTCGTCACGCCGAAGACCCGGGTTCGATTCCCACATGGGTACAATGCGTGAAGCCCATTTCTGGTGTCGTCCGCCGTGATATTGCTAGAATATTGCTCAAAGCAGCGTAAAACTATACTCATTCAGTCATTCACGTAATGCTTCAGGCTTTGTAATGTTTTGTATTGGTAATGTTTTATGCAGATCACGAAAACCAAATTCTGAAATGCATTCATATTGAGGTGAAATGCATCTTTTTCGATAGAGTTCAATTGTCCTAATATAGACCATGCAGAAATACACCAATAACAGTGATTTATATGTCCAAAAGAACGGTTGAAATATAACCATTTAAAGTCACCATTTTTCAACTATTAAAACAAGAAACAACTGTTGGAGAGTGTGTAAAATTGTAAAAGAATCATTCGTATAATTTCAGTCTTTTAAAACATTTTCTGTTGATTTGCAGTAGTGAAAACAAGTACAGCGTGTCTTTGATATTGTGAAAACGCTGTTTACACATAGCAATATCAATCGCCAAAACGTAGCAATATTTAAACAGTATTTGCATCAATTTCACGTGTAGAATGATTCTATAGGGTATAAAGAGAGACAAGAATGCATGGTATGATACACAAGTACGGGAAATATGCCACGATTAACAGCTGAAGAGAGAGAACGAACAGATTTGGTCGACATACAATACTATTTGCAACGCCCTCGGATGCCACCGTATCACGGTTATAAGACTTTTTCAGCGCTACAGACTGGGGTCACCGTAGACAGACCAAGAAGTGGACGTCCACGCATCACAATTCAGGAGAACGTTTCATCTTAAATTTTAAGAAATGCATTAAGGAAGGAGGGTAACGTTTCTTTAGGCGTTTAGTGTACATGTACCGTGTATATGCTTGGATCTTGTAACGGGCTAATCGATGATACTGGTTGGAAGCGATGACATTTGTTAATTAATGTCTGAAAATAGGTATCCAAAGGCATGCTATTCCTTGCTTTTTGGACTGGATGGTGCCGGAACTATTCTGCCAGGTATTTTTTTTTGTGCAAAATAACTATAGGCTGATTCAGCAAAACCTTATTATACATTCCCAGAATTGACGATGAAGATGTTTCTGGCCCGCAAAGGGACGCAACTCTGCATAGCGAAGAAAATGATTTATGGACTGACCATGTTGTTCAACTATCCTCCATTTTGCACCAGAGAAAGTGCAATATCTACCAACACGGCGTTATGTGGTGTGGTGTTCTAATGAATCGTTTTCGCCAAAGGAAGACGAACGGTTGTACAATAACGTTGTTTGTTTTATGACGCATTCAGCAACTCTTCCAGCTCAAGGGAGTGAAGGAACAAGAATAAGCAGAAATTATGAAGAAATATCATATTGCCTGATTTTACCATTTAACTGTTGAAGAATATTTATCTCATCTGCCATCGTTATTGTTAGAATTTTCATAACACTTATTTACAAAAACACTACTGATGTAGCGGGTGAATGAAAGCAAGGGACTCCGGAATTATTTCATATGGCGGACATTTGATTCAACAAGTATATTTAGAGTTAACTCCCGTGTTCCTTCACTCCGTGGAACCGGAAGCTGGCAGGGGTAATGGGGGCGCAGAACGATTTGATATGCTACGAGTGGCTCTTAAAATGTTGAATGCAATAGATTTTACGTGAGTTATCATTAAATATGAGGTTGGAAATCTGAGAGCAAAACCCTCTTAGAAATGGGTGTCACCTTTGATGGTAGCGATATTTTATTTTGGCATTAAAAATACTTTTCGACCCGAAGTGAGAGAAGTACGTTGCCAACCTTTGCTCGCTTCGCTTGCATATAGGAAGACTAGTAATTTTTCTCTCTGTTGCGCAACCTTATTTGCTCTACATTAGCCTGTGGTTAACGCTTAAACCTCCTATCCAAATTTAAAGTTCAGGGTTCCCAATTTTTTGTCAGAGATTGCATTTTAAAAACATCAGTTGTTTTTCGTCCATGTGAAGGTTCAAGGTACAACCATACAAGACAAATAGAAGCTTTAATTTGTAAACCAAGAACACATTGAGGAAACATATCCTGTTGATGAGTGTAAAGCAAATTTTATCAGTGTTATGAAGAGCGTAAAGTCGATATTGAAAACAGATGACGCTGTTATCATTCACGCAGAGAAGGATCATGCTGGGTCTTGTAATTTCAGATAGGAAAATGAGAAAGCAAGACAAACACTAACGATTGGGTGAGTCAAATATGAGCAAACTTGGCCTTATTGTTAGATAAGAAAGTCTATGTTTTTCTTTCTATCTCAAAAGATGCGTCTTGGTTTCACGGCTGACGTCTCCTAAAACCAGCATGTTTCTTATAAGATTTCCCATAATATATCCCTCTCTCCGATCGATTATTCTAAGACCTGTGCCGAAAACGAAATGGTAATCTTCTTTTCTCCTTTCCAAATGGACGTGTTGTAGCAGTCGTTGTCGTGATAGGAATAGATGTAGTACCTTCCCGAACCAGCTTCCAGCCTTCCGTTGTTGTTGTTGATTCTTCAAAATTAACGACAGTGGTCGCTTCTTTAGTGGTAGTCAGTGTCACTTCCTCTGTGGTCGTCGTTGTCGCTTCCGTTGTTGGAGTAGATGACGTCTTACTTTCTCCTGTTGTTTCCTCTTCCTCCGCACACCAAGAATCTGTTGGAAGTTCTCCCGTTATTTCTGGTTTTGTTGAAGTCGATGCTGATGGTCTAAGGGTTTTGCGTCTTCGAAGCTGGCCAACAATATTTGGGATTGATGGTATTCTGCTCCTTGGAAGCTTGGTCACACATCGGAAAGGACCATTCTTGCCTGCCTGGGCCAGTATAGAACAGTTCTTACCAATCTCAGAACAGCTGTTGTCAAGTTTGTGCCTGAAAGTACAGAACATTAGTATTATTTACAGACAGGTTAAAGAAATGCACTAAAAAGGATTCGGCTGGTCCAGTCAGATTGGTTCGTCTGACCCAGTCAGATTGGTTCGTCTGGCCCAGTCAGGTCGGTTCGTCTGGCCCAGTCAAGTCGGTTCGACTGACCCTGTCAGTTTTGTTCGTCTGGCCCAGTCAGATTTGTTCGTCTGTCCGAATCAGATTTCATCATCTGGCCCAGTCAGTTCGGTTCGTCTGGCACAGTTAGATTAGTTTGTATGGCCAAGTTAGATTGGTTCGTCTGGCCCAGTCAGGTCGGTTCGTCTCGCCCATTCAGATTGGTTCGTCTGGCCCAGTCAGGTCGGTTCGTCTCGCCCATTCAGATTGGTTCGTCTGGCCAAGTCAGATTGGTTCTTTTGATCATTAGATCAGGGCCCTTGTCCCCTGTACAGGCAGCCCAGACAGCGAATGGAACGTTTATTAGGAAGCGCTGCCTAGTCGAACCCACCAAAACATTGAAGCACTCCCAGATACGTGTGACCTGTTATGCATAATATGGTTGGTTGGTATGTAATTAATGCGGCACTCAACAATATTCAAGCTATATGGCGGCAGTCTGTAAATAATCGAGTCTGGACCAGACAATCCAGTGATCAACATCATGAGTATTGATCTACGCAATTGGGATACGACGACATGTGTCAACGAAGTCAGCGAGCCTGACCACCCGATCCTGTTAGTCGCCTCTTACGACAAGCACGGGTTACTGAAGATCAATTCTAACCCAGATCTTCACGGGTGTAAGGGTTTGAGGGAAGATCGAGGATGGTTTGACTATTGTTTAAGTATTGTCTTGAGCTTTCGTGTGAGTGTGTGAATGCCCAAATTTCATATCCAGATTATGTGAAGTAAGGATTTACTTTGAATATGCTTACAAATGCTCTCGTTCATATTCCCAGAAGCCAGGAATCCTTTTAAGTGAAATTTCAAAGCAATTTGTGTGATACTTTTTAAGCATGATCTACACAAAACAAACGAGACGGGTCCATTAGCCGCTTTCGTTTCTTTGTCGATTGGGTAGATCTGACCTTTGAAACAAACTTAGAGTGATTGAAAATGTGTTGATTTTGAACAGAGGGTATATTACAAAATATAAACCGACAGAGGTGTAGGAACCTACAGTCATCGTTGGTGACGTTAACCGTGAAATGTCGACACCGTCTGGACCAGAATACAAAAAAAACACTGAACGCGGGCACATTCCCTCCTAAACATTAAATTATGACTTGTTTACAATTACTTGTTTATTCAACGAATAATATTACCTTCCTGAGCCAATAAAACATTAGCCAACGGTTATAGTTTTAGAAAAACGATCTATCATTATAATGGAGTAAGGTTATATTTTTTATATAATTTAAGTGATGAATTATTAAACAGTAAATGTCACAAGGCTGCCAAACAACCCTGACACAGTTTTTATCAAGCTGTTATCACTTTGCTGAGTCAGCATTTTCTCGCGATACACACACACACACATACAAATGTATATATAGACATGTATATAGGTATGATGAATTAGCCAGACTGTGAGACATGTACACTGTATTTATTCTACGTTGACGGTGATACGTACAACGTATCAGTCTCTTTGTCTTCATCATTGATGAACAGTTGTAGAGATTTCCTCTATCGAGAATCAAATGATAGCTTGACGTGGCTATCTACTTATTATGACAATTCATCGGTGATGTGTGTAATACGTCATCAAATGTGTGCATTACGTCAGAAATGATGTAGCGTGCAAGAATCATTACACATGTGCTTCGTTTACAGTCCGTTTGATTTCATTTGAGACCGATGAATTGCCCACTAACACAAAATCTAACAAATGCAACAAAACCTCATTTTGCAGTCACATGACATACACAGACCATGGCCAAATCTGATCATATCTCTCTGATAACAGCCAGGTGTGCAAGTTGTACGTGTGAAATTGAAATTTCACCCCACACGCTTGTTCATTACCTGGCTGTTCTACCAGCAAGTGGTCCCCCTCGTAAAACATAGCGAAAATTGACAAAATAATGATCGTTTGTTAAACAACATTTTTGTTCAGGTGTCCAAAATTATGAGACAAATCAGTTGGTCTGTCGATTTCATGTGACTGTGCAAATTGTGGTTTTGTAGCATTTATTAGATTTTGTGTTAGTGAGCAATTCATGAGATCAAACGTACTGTAGTTTGGAACATGCTTATTCTGATGTTATATCCTGCATGATATACACATATAGAAAAATAATTTCATGAATACTAATAATTTTACTAACGTGTCCTTAACGTAGCTTAACATATTCTTTATTTACCTCTGACATCAGTTTAGTAACTCAGCCGGATATTCATACAACCAGTTCAGTGTGTTTCGTGGTACTGGATTGTCTGGTTAGATTACGGACCGCCATCGTATGGCGTGAGTACAGCTTTCGGGGCCAAGCAACAAGTAAAACCATTTTCTTTTTATGTAAACTGTATGAGTGGCAGGTGTGTTGCAGGTGTGTGGCAGGATATACCCATCTAATGCCTGTGTCATGACTACCTTTCAGTAATTCGTTCATCAAATTTTCACAGCCATTTTAATTTATAAGCTGAATGGCGTATTATCGAGTCGGGTTATTCTTTATCATTGACGTTTTATATTTACGAGGACTCACGCATCCTGAGTGAGTGAGTTGTTTTACGCCGCTTTAAGCAATATTCCAGCAATATCACGATGGGGGATACCACAAATGGGCTTCACACATAGTATCGAACCCGAGTCTTTGGCGCGACGAGCAAACGCTTTAACCACCAGCCTACCCCACCGCCCCCGTGCATCTTGAACCATGTTGATACAGTATGTCATCACGCACCTACAGACGTGTGCCCTGGATGAAGTACACACAACTACAAATCCACATTTATCGACTGGATGGACGCCCTCCCTCAGTTCCGTGACTGGTGTCTTGTACGTCCGTCCTGTGGAAGAAACAGCCGACATTATGATTGACATTAACTTAGGACTTGGTTGGTTGGTTGTTGTTTAACGCCGCACTCAGCAATATTCCAGCTATATGATGGCGGTCTGTATATAATCGAGTCTGGACCAGACAATCCAGTGACCATGGCATGAACATCTATCTACGCAGACCAATTCGAACCGGACCTTCACATACATTTAGGAAGAAAAGGAACTTTAACTCAGCTGATCTTCTCAACTTTCACATTTCAAATTGTAAGTATTTTAATTTACTGATAATTCCTTTTCTATAAATATACAGCACTGTGCTCTATATATTGTGTTATTTTATTTGCAAAGTATATTTTATTGTTAATATTTCTGAAAATGTATAATAGAAATTTGAGATAATACATAAATGTTGATATATATCTAAGACATAATCATTTTCAAAATGTGTACGTTTGCTATTTGCCTTATGTACAAACATTTTCATGGTAAATATGATTGATTGGTCGATTAACTTTTGTAGGAGGGGTGATCGTTAAATGGGTACTAATTTATAAATATGCAAATTTAACACCAGATTAGTTAACCAATACCTTTCTTGGTCACTGAGTCTATACCCAGATGGAGCCATTAATGAAGAAACCTTTTGGAACCTGCTAATACGATCAGTTCAAGACGAAAACATAAGCACAGGCAAAATAAAACTATTACGCGGTTAGACAGAGATGTATGCCTAATGATGGATATAAGCGTCTATCGGGTGGTCATTCTGGCAGATTTGGTTGAAATTCCACCGTCCCAAAGTGTGTGTATTGTTGATCGCACTCACTAAATAAAACATGTTGTTATTATAAGTTATGTCAGTATTGTACTTCCAAATATGCCACTCAAAGAAGTTGCAGATGGGTTGTAAATACAAAAGTTCTTTTTCAGCAGGAATTACGTAGGACCATCATTGATAGAATTAATAACAGTAAATTGTTTTGGACTTCCTTGAAACGTCTTTCTAACAAGGGTAATGTGTCAAAGCCAGATATCAGTATTCATCAATGGTTCAGTTATTTTCAGGAACTGCTTAACTCTTGCTGTGATACTGGAGTTAACATTGTCACTGCATATACCTATGATTCTATGTCGAGGACTATTCTTGATTCTCCTATACAACAGGATGAAGTTATTGATGCTATAAATGGTCTGAAGGTGGGGAAGTCGGCTGGGAATGATGGACTCTTATCTGAAATGTTTAAAAGTGCGCAGGATGTTTTAGCTCCAGTTTTGACATTGTTGTTCAATGATTTATTTGACTCTGCATATTTTCCGTCTCAGTGGTCGCAGGGCGTTATTGTTCCTATACACACAAAAGGTGACCTAAACTCCCCATCAAATTATCGAGGTATAACCATACTTAGTATCTTCAGTAAAGTATATATATATATATCATTACTATAAGATTGCGGTTTTGGTGTGATGCCTTTAATAACATAGTGGAATCGCGAGCAGGTTTTCGTTTTGGATACTCCACTACAGACAATATTTTTACCCTACATGCAGTCATCCAGCGGTATCTATGCAAGAAGAGAGGTAATATGTATATTCTCTATGAGGGTTTTTCCAAAGCGTTCGACAGTATTGATAGATCTCTTCTGTGGTTGATTTTGAAGGAAAATGGAAACTCGCCTAAAATGTTTAACTGGATCCGTTCTATTTATAATCGTGTCTCTTCTTGCGTGAAGTTTGATAATCAATTTTCAGATAGCTTTGAGTGTAAACTTGGTGTCCGTCAGGGCTGCATCTTAAGCCCCATCTTGTTTAACTTATTTATTAATGAGTTGGGCTAAGGAAATAGAGTTAGGATGTTTCCCAGGCGTTCAGTTTCACCCCGAATTGGTCCAGGTGTTCCTCCTGCTTGTTGCTGATGATATTACTCTCATTGCAGACACGGTTTTTGGCCTTCAAAAGAGGATAAATTTCCGATATGATTTTGCCAGAGAGGTATTCACTCTCTGTAAATCTGGAGAAAACGAAGGTGGTTGTCTTTAAAAATGGTGGAATTTTATCAAGGTATGAAAAGTGGTACTATGGTAATAAGTTGATAGAGTGTGTTTCATTTATATATGTACTTGTGGGTTACTTTCGCAAAGAGTCTGAGTTGGAATAAGCACCTTGCTAATGCTTCACTGCGGGCCAAAAAGGTTTTATTCTGTGTAATAAAGTTACTTAATAATGTGAAACCAATAGATTATAATGTATTCTTCAACATATTTGACTCAAAGGTTGTTCCTATCCTTTTATATGGGGTTGAAATATGGGGACTAGATAACATCGAGGAAATAGAATCAGTTCATTTATTGGCTTGTAAGCTATTTTTAGGAGTTGAAACTTCTACCGCCGACCACTGCGCTCGCGGTGAGTGTGGAAGATATCCCCTCTATATTTCAGTTTTCAAACGTTGTTTGACATACTGGTGTCAACTTTTGAATATGCCCTATTCTCGGTTTCCTAGGAAAGGGTGTAATATGTTGTATCTCGGGGCCTCTCGTGGGAAGACTAACTGGGCATCTAACATTAAATCCTTGATTTATATTTATGGTTTTGGCTATATCTGGGAAGCCCAAAGTGTATATTCCCCTGTCTCTTTTCTGGCAGAATTTGAATCTAGATTAAAAGCCATTTACCAACAGAATTGACATTCCGCTCTTAAAAAATAGCCCTAAGGTGTGTTTGTATTCTCAGTTCAAGGCTGTTTTCACTGTTGAACCTTATTTACTATTACTAAATCTTGACAAGTTTAAAACAGCTTTGGCGCTTCCGTTGCAGTTCTCATTCTTTAAACATCGAAATGGGAAGGTATCATAATATTCCAAGAAATCAAAGGGTTTGTAAACACTGTAATAATGGTAATGTCGAAAATGAATTTCGTTTTCTACTTGTATGTAGCGCTTACAGTAACCTTAGAAACCAGTTTATACCACATAAGTATTTCGTAAACCCTACAATTCATAAATTTAACCTCCTGTTGTCCAATATCAATGTTGAAATCATGAGACGTGTTGCAATGTTTGTACTACGTGCAAGCAAACTTCGAAACTCTATGGACCAATGATATATGTACTATGGTCCAATACTAATGTTGAATCATGAAATGTGCCACAAACTCTGAGCTCTGTTATCAACGATGTATGTTTACTTAAGTTAAAACTATGAAACGTGTTGCACTGACCGTATTATGTATGACTAACTGTGGACAGATGATCAGTGTACCGTGGGCCGGTGGCCTACATGTACCCTTTGCAAATAAACATATCGAAATACAAACTGTTTCAAACGCACACCGCTAAGTTGACACATCATTACACTTTTATGTCACACAGTGTTAATGTACAAATTATAATCTGCGTGGTATTATAATAATAATGGCAATAGTCAATTTATATTGCTTATTTTTCCATGCACATTGCATGCCCAAAGCGCTGACATATTACCCCTGGTCAACGAGTACAGAACACTCCCTGTGGAGAATACAACCGGTCGCCTGTCAGGCGCTCAAGGTTCAAATTCAGACTGCCATCGTATCATACCATGTTTTATGACCAATACAAATGACTGTGACATCGCTCATGGGTATTCCAACACGTCTCCTTCCAGATGGAACGTTCATTAACTTTGAGGAGTATATTTTGTGTTCATACCTATTTACAGGTAATTCAGCCGGCTTCATTCAAAACTCAATTTTTACAATTGATCGTTGGAAAACACCATCTTACTTACCACGAGTAGCAATCTTGAGTGGTTGAAGCACACAGTCATGGCAGCTCGCCAAGGAAACGAAGGAGAGAAAGAGTAGAAGTGTCTGCATCCTGGGTGAGTGTCTGAAACACATGAACTGACGTAGCACAGATCAGCAGCAGCCTCATCAATCCGACAACATGTGCGTGGGTTAATTGATCAACTTGGTGGCTTGAATTACGTGTATCTGTCAGTTCTTGGGTTTTAAGCATTAACCAATACCTGAACACATCATCATCGTTAAAGTTGTGTCATCGCTGCTGATGCTGAAGAAGATCATATTATCTGATGTTAAGTGTAAAACGTCAAATTACACTTATTAATGTAAATGTTATACAGAAAATTTACTGTTTCCGAACAAATTAACTTAGCTTATTAATTGAGGTGATATAATCATCTGTTAAGTTTTTAACACACTTAATGTTTATGGGGCGGTGGGCTAGCCCAGTAGTTAAAGCGTTCTCTCGTCACGCCGAAGACCCGGGTTCGACTCCCCACATGGGTACAATATGTGAAGCTCATTTCTGGTGTCTCCTGCCGTGATATTGCTGGAATATTGCTAAAAGCGGCGTAAAACTAAACTCACTCACGTAATGCTTCAGGTTTGGTAATGTTTTGTATTGATATGCAAAGGACACATACAATCTTTGAATACAAATGTACAAGATGTAATATATTATAAGATCTCTGAAATATACGTACGGTGTATATGCTTGGATCTTGTAACTGGCTGATCGGCGATACTGGAAGGAGGTGATGTCACGTGCTAGTTTACCTCTGAAAATAAATCACAATATCATGTTATATATCTCCTGTGCTATTTTCAGTCATGTAACCAGTTATTTCAGTGATTTAAGTTATTCATTTGGACTGGAATCAGGTTTTAGAAGACAGACAGTTAAGGTTAGAGTTAATCCACTCCCTCTGACGTCTATAATGGAAGTTCCACAAGGACGTATTTTGTCACCCCATTTATTATCAAAATCAACAATTTGGTGAAATTATTAAACGACAATATAGATGATTCTCTCTTTGTAAATTATTTTAACATAAGTCGTGGAACCTACACGAATTGCAGTGAAAGACAAGTGCAGCTTTGTCTTAGTACACAAATGGTCATGGTCACTGGAAAACGGTTTAAATATTCCAAAGTAATAAACGTAAAGTGCCTACGTATACAGTCATATATTAGGGCTGCAAATTAAAATCTTGATAATATCTCAAAATTTAACTTGCCTGAAACAATACGATGTCAATTTAGACATGGCAAAACTGAAGAAGGCTTTTTTAAAATGTTATTGTACGGACAAGCATTTTCAGAAATTAAAGATAAATATTTCTCTCACAGATGGATCAACAAATCTAAACACAAAGATTTACAGTGACAGAATACTCACCACAAGACTGTATGACATGAAGGATGGCTTAAGCTCCAGGTACATAGATAACAAAGAGCGCCACACCAGACTACCTTAGATGTTGTTTAATCAAAAAATTCTAAACCTCAGTAAAGCTTTAAAAATAGTTTCTAATGTAGCCATATGGATGATATTAATACATGTGTAAAATATGATGTAAGAGGTAATGTTCCTATTCCGACTACGTTGTTATAGGCGAGCAGTTGACTTGCCTTTGTATGTGTTTATGATGTGACACCTGGTGTCTACCCCAATTTGATTGTGATTCACAGTCGACTCTGCTTTGGACAGAACGTTTTATAGCATAGAAAGAGTTTTGTTACCTTTATACATGTAATCTCTGTCGAGGTAATTATATTTTTTGCTTACCAATTCTAAGCACGTCGTTGTCTATTAAAATCATTGCCAAATTTGATGCACTTGCTTTCAGTTCAAAGTATTTTTACTATTCTACTTAATTACTGTCCTACCTTTACAAATCATACAGTCATTTCAGGGTGCTGGAAATATTTATGCCATTCTAACACCAGGAACTAATGGGGCTATTCAAGCAAATGAAGGAATAGAAATAGAAAATGTGAATAATGCGTTTTTACTTCAAATAACAAAGAATATCTAGTATTAGCTACAGCCCAAACTGTTTCAGTCCCGCTTGCTCAGCTCAGAGCTAATTATTAGATCTAAAGATGTATAGAGGAATATTTCGAAATGCTAAAAACATCGGAACACGTGAGAAAGTGAATGTTGCAGAAAATGAACAATCATCATTTTATGCTCAATATTCAGTCGAGAAACGCAAATATTCAAAAGCAATCACATGTTATCTGAATACCAATTTGTTGAGCATCTTTATGTCAATGTTACATAACTTGAACCTACGATACATCATGCATTGTTCGAAGACTCACATACCGTAAGAGGCGACTAACGGGATCGGGTGGTCAGGCTCGCTGACTTGGATTGACACATGTCATCGGTTCCCAATTGCGCCAATCGATGCTCATGTTGTTGATCACTGGATTGTCTGGTCCAGACTAGATTATTTACAGACCGCCGCCATATAACTTGAATATTGCTGAGTGCGGCGCAACACCAAACTCACTCACTCTAATCTAGACCGGATAATCCAGTGATTGACATTGACCACTAACGTCGGGTACGGTAAGATACAATACATCAAGTGACCACATGATGCATGGTCATGGTCTCAAAGGACCCTGAGTACACACGGGGATGTCCATAATGGTAGATGTGATATATTGTCTGTCCCCACACAAATAATACTTAGTTGTGTTATTAATTATGAACCAGCTGAAGTCACAAGAAAATCAACAAGAATCAGAAAACCACCTTAAAGAAATCTAAAATTGAACGCTATGAACGAATAGTTACTTCCAAGAAAGATGCAAATATTTTAAAGTATATTAATTAAATTATCAAGCAAACAATGAAATTACGTTTTTGCTTAAAGCCACTTAGAACAGTATTTCGGGGACGTCACACGTTGGTGTGGAAGGCCAGCCCAGTGTCATGTTGGTATTAGACGTTCACAACAGAATACATGTGACAAAACCTTTTCCATATACATTAGAAAGATCCGTTTGTACAATTTAGAGTATATCATAAGCATGTGTATAAGAATCAAAATGTTCATGACACCAGGTGTTCGTGAAACGGTGAGCGTATCATATGCATGTCCCACCGGTGGCACCCGTCAAAAACATATGCAAAGGTTGCCAACTGTTCACCTGTAGTCCTGGTAAACTCAATGTTGCCTTCAAGAGAATGTCACTTACTAACGTATATGTGTTTTGGTAGATGAATCTGCTTCGGCGGACGATCGAGTCTGGTTGCTGTCTGGCGTTGATGTTTTACGTTTTATACATATCGTGCACGTGGGAGTGGTTGTTTGCTTTGCCCGAGCGTAGACTGGGTTTACAACACTCACCCACTGATATATCCAATATATACCCACAAAGACACAGTATACAGACTCCGAAACGTCTTTGTGTCACCCTAGCCTTGTAATGCGGCCGAGGCAGGTCAGCAACAAGTACCGTCTTTTAACGTCTTTTGGTATGACGTTGCCTGGACATCTTACCCCCAACCGCCACCTCCGGGCAGATTCTCTTGGCCACCGAGGTGGGCGATTACAGTGGAGAGTGACGCAGGCAGATATGAAACCGGAAAGATGATTTTGTTTTTAAAATAATACATTCCGTGATGAAGAAACGCAAGGAGTACCAACCAATTGCAAGTCATACACGGCTTACGGCACTTTGATACCAGGGCTTCATGTATTGAAACACAGATGACTGGTTTTGTCCAAAGTAGCTACTAAATCTAGTGTTTATAGAAATCCATCGTATAACAAAATAACTTAGTCTTAATAGTAGTAATTAACATGTTATATATTCTACAGAACATGATATACTCACAGAGTGCCGTGCAGGAGCTCTTCATAACACAAGGTGAAATTTACATATGATACTCATATCGTGATATTTGGATTCTTGAAAATCATAAAGTTGCATCGTAAACAGCAGCTGGAGGCAGCGAACGTGTCATATTACAGTGGCTTAAATGATGATACAATAAACAGATACTGCTAAGTGGCGCGCACATTTAGTAACCAATTAGAATCCCTTTGGTGTCCTTATGGTCCGCTATTGGTTGGTTGACAAAGCATTTGCATAAGGTTTGGGATGGGTGATGCACCATCCCTGGAGAGTTCTTTTTTGTCAACCACGAGGGTACAATGTGTGAAGTCCATTTCTGGTGTCCCCCGCCGTGATATTGCTGGAATATTGCTAAAAGCGGCGTAAAACCATACTCACTCACTTTGTTTGACGTACCACACATTTCCAGTAAATTCTTCTTAAATTTCGTCCGATAAAGTCTTTGTCTTTTTGCAAAGGAGAATTACAGCATTTGCGATGTCATAATTTATGGCTTGTACGACATGTTTGTAAGGCTTGTAAACATTGTCACTGTGACTAGAAGGCTTTTTGTTCAAACATCTTAAGGTCACCAGCAACACCATTAAGATAAGGAGGGTTTTGTGTTCAAGCATTAGTGGAATGTCTGGCATTTAATTTCAACGTCACCAAATGTCATTTATAATAGCGGGGTTTTATGCTCAAGCATTAGTGGAATGTTTGGTATTTCATTTTAACGTCACCAAATGTCATTTATAATAGCGAGGGTTTATGCTCAAGCATTAGTAGAATGTCTGGTATTTCATTTTAACGTCACCAAATGTCATTTATAATAGCGAGGGTATATGCTCAAGCATTAGTAGAATGTCTGGTATTTCATTTCAACGTCACCAAATGTCATTTATAATAGCGAGGGTTTATGCTCAAGCATTAGTAGAATGTCTGGTATTTCATTTTAACGTCACCAAATGTCATTTATAATAATAGCGAGGGTTTATGTTCAAGCATTAGTAGAATGTCTGGTATTTCATTTTAACGTCACCAAATGTCATTTATAATAGCGAGGGTTTATGCTCAAGCATTAGTAGAATGTCTGGTATTTCATTTTAACGTCACCAAATGTCATTTATAATAGCGAGGGTTCATGCTCAAGCAATAGTAGAATGTCTGGTTATTTCGTTTTAACGTCACCAAATGTCATTTATAATAGCGAGGGTTTATGCTCAAGCATTAGTAGAATATCTGGTATTTCATTTTAACGTCACCAAATGTCATTATATAATAGCGAGGGTTTATGTTCAAGCATTAGTAGAATGTCTGGTATTTCATTTTAACGTCACCAAATGTCATTTATAATAGCGAGGGTTTATGCTCAAGCATTAGTAGAATGTCTGGTATTTCATTTTAACGTCACCAAATGTCATTTATAATAGCGAGGGTTTATGTTCAAGCATTAGTAGAATGTCTGGTATTTCATTTTAACGTCACCAAATGTTATTTATAATAGCGAGGGTTTATGTTCAAGCATTAGTAGAATGTCTGGTATTTCATTTTAACGTCACCAAATGTCATTTATAATAGCGAGGGTTTATGTTCAAGCATTAGTAGAATGTCTGGTATTTCATTTTAACGTCACCAAATGTCATTTAGTTATCAAGCATTATAGAATGTCTGTATTTCATTTGCAAATGTCATTATATAATAGCGAGGGTTTATGCTCAAGGTATTTATTTTAACGTCACCAAATTCAGGGTTTATAATAGCGAGGGTGTATGTTCATTCAAGCATTAGTAGAATGTCTGGTATTTCATTTTAACGTCACCAAATGTCATTATAATAGCGATAGCGAAGTCTGGTTTATGTTCAAGCATTAGTAGAATGTCTGGTATTTCATTTTAACGTCACCAAATGTCATTTATAATAGCGAGGGTTTATGTTCAAGCATTAGTAGAATGTCTGGTATTTCATTTTAACGTCACCAAATGTCATTTATAATAGCGAGGGTCTATGCTCAAGCATTAGTAGAATGTCTGGTATTATTTTAACGTCACCAAATGTCAATTATAATAGCGAGGGTTTATGTTCAAGCATTAGTAAAATGTCTGGTATTTCATTTTAACGTCACCAAATGTTATTTATAATAGCGAGGGTAGCGAGGGTATATGTTCAAGCATTAGTAGAATGTCTGGTATTTCATTTTAACGTCACCAAATGTTATTTATAATAGCGAGGGTTTATGTTCAAGCATTAGTAGAATGTCTGTATTTCATTTTTAACGTCACCAAAATGTCATTTATAATAGCGAGGGTTTATGTTCAAGCATTAGTAGAATGTCTGGTATTTCATTTTAACGTCACCAAATGTCATTTATAATAGCGAGGGTTTATGTTCAAGCATTAGTAGAATGTCTGGTATTTCATTTTAACGTCACCAAATGTCATTTATAATAGCGAGGGGTTTATGTTCAAGCATTAGTAGAATGTCTGGTATTTCATTTTAACGTCACCAAATGTCATTTATAATAGCGAGGGTTTATGTTCAAGCATTAGTAGAATGTCTGGTCTGGTGTTTCATTTAACGTCACCAAATGTCATTTATAATAGCGAGGGTTTATGCTCAAGCATTAGTAGAATGTCTGGTATTTCATTTCAACGTCACCAAATGTCATTTATAATAGCGAGGGGTTTATGTTCAAGCATTAGTGGAATGTCTGGTATTTCATTTCAACGTCACCATATGTCATTTAAAATAGCAGAGGTTTATGTTCGAGCATTTTTTTGTTATCAAAAAGTGGTATTTCTCTGTAGTGCGGTACTTAAGGTACGTAGTACAAAGGTACTTAAGCGCTAAAATTATTTTTGAGTGAAAATTTCATTTCACCTTCGAGGGGGAAAGTAATCGACTGACTAAGTGTAAGTATTTTGGGGTGAAGTGGGTGGGGTCGGTTCTGTATTCAGCAAGCTCATGTGCTGTATATTGGCAGGTTTTCTGGAAAAAATCTCAAGTTTAACGAAATCGGTCTGTACAACATGACACACGTTTCCAGTGTCGACAATAATGACCGTTTACATCACCTCGTGTTTGACAGGTTCTTTGTTCGCCCACCAGATGGCGCCGGTCCCTCTGTGAAGTCAATACTACAGCTTATAAATCTAAACTGGCCTTTCATCGCAGTATTTACTCTTCCTGATAATACAACGACACTGTTTCAATAAAGACTCGGGTAAAAAATAAATTTGCAACACATTGCCCCGCCACGTTGTGCATTTGTGCCAACCAAATCAAATGTACTGATTGTCAAATATTAGATTCTAAGATACCCTTTAGCTGATGTGTAATATGCGAAATATGCTTTTTCTTAATTTTTAAAGGTTTTGAATAAAAAGGTAGGGGAACTTCATTTTTAATTTACGATTGAAAAGAAATGTGAGATATATCGGAGTCAATCAATGTTGATACGATATTAATGAATGTTTTGAGAGTGCATCACCACTTGCACTTCCTTATGACCATAGTTGTTTGTACAGTAATCGCTCTTGGAGGATGATAGGTGTATGACGTGAAATAAGCATGTGTACGATTTTCATTTTCAAAAAAAAAATACACGGCTTGAAACAAACACTGAGAACTGTGTGATGCAAGATGATTGTCAAAATTAATTGTCTGCAGTGTTTTATCAACCTTCTTGAAAAACCGTCAAAATCAAGAATAACACCCCATGCACGTGTGGGTGTGTGTGTGTGTGGGGGGGGGTTATTGCGTTGTGCACGTGCATACCATGTGTTGTGTTTAGGGGTGGTGACAAAGAAAAATGGTTGTGCGTTCATAAGATGTCTGTCTTTGAAAAGTTTGTTAACGTTTATACTTCCTATCCAAATTGAAAGTTCAGGTTCCCCTATTTTTTAAAGAGTTGTCAGTATATTGATAACCCTACGATATTTCAAACCTCGATATCAGATTCCAATATGTGCACATAATCATGTTGGTGGCCAATCTTGTTTTATAATAGTTGCAGTGACATGTGTTTTTTCTAAAACATAACAACTACACTATGCGCCAAAAGAAACGTTACCCTCCTACCTTTGTGAATTTACTTTAACACTTTCAAAGATATGTTAAATGATATTAGTTTAGATGAAAGCTTACAGTGATTAGGATGTCCAAAAGAACGGTTGAAATAAAATTCTGCTTTGAGACAAAGATGAACCATTTAAAGTCACCATTTTTCAACTATTAAAACAAGAAACAACTGTTGGAGAGTGTGTAAAATTGTAAAATAATCACTCCCATTATTTCAGTCTTTTAAAACATTTTCTGCTAATTTGCATTAGTGAAAACAAGTAAAACGTGTCTTTAATATTGTGAAAAAATGTTTATGAACATCTAAACTTATCTTTGTTAACATGTTTTTCCATTTTCTGTTTACACATAGTATTATCAATCAAAACGCAGCAATATTCAAGCAGTATTTGCATCAATTTCACACGTAGAATTATGCTATGTGGTATAAAGAGAGACTAGAATGCATGATATGATATACAAGTACGAGAAATATGCCACGATTAACAGCTGAAGAGAGAGAAAGAGCCATTGGGATGGTGCAGATGGGGTCGACATACAATGCTGTTGCCAACGCCCTCGGATGCCACCGTATCACGGTTATAAGACTTATTCAGGGCTTCAGACAGACTGGGGTCACCGTAGACAGACCAAGAAATGGACGTCCACGCATCACAACGCCAGCTGTAGATATGTACCTCCGTCATTAAGGAAGGAAGGTAACGTTTCTTTTGGCGTTTAGTGTATTTCCTCTGGAGAACAGTCAAATGTTCAACAAACACAGATCCATTTTTGTCACAAAATGTTAAGAAGACGAGATTGTCTTACGCCGCACTCAGCAATGTTCCAGCTATATGACGGCGGTCTGTGAATAACTAAGTCTGTACCAGACAATCCAGTGATCAACAGCATGAGCATCGATCTACGCATTTGTGACAACATGATTACGATGACTTGTGTCAA